CCAGGATAGATCATGGATACGGCGCCATCCCCCGTCGTGCTTAGGGACTAAACCAAGCGGTGAAACGAAGGAGGACCTAGAGGCTAGCCGAACACGACCGAGGCTAAGATCCTCTACTAGTTTGGCTGTGATCATGTCGGGTTCATGTATGTGATGGTTGGAGGAGTGGCGAAACTGCTTCTTGCCCCTATAACCGACTTGAGCACCGTAGGTCAGAATGCCAGCGATAGTGGACCCGAGATCGCCCGGATAGTAGCGTAGAAGATTGCTCCAGGCTTGCGCATACAGTGGCGACGGAGAGGACTGTAGCCTTAGGAGCTCTAGGTTAAAGACGGGGTATTGAACAGCAGTGTTTGGTCGGGGCGGTTGCCCCTATGGTATGAGGCTTAGGGATAGGGGATTGAGAACAACGTTGTCGGTGATATTGGTGCAGTTCTCAAGAATTGTCACTTGCTATTTTTTCTTGCGGCAGGAGGAGGCGCCATACTCGCTTAGGCCGCATGCCGTGCACTTATGACGTCTCTTACAGCCTTCCCAGGAGCACCCTGTCGAGTTGAACTTATCGCAAACTTCTGTCTCATTATTCGAAGATCTGGTATTCCTAGCTTGACGAAGCCGGGTTAGAGGGTTTGTTGGTGACTTCGCAGACACGGTGAGATTGTGGCGGAGGTATTTCTCGCGAAATGGGCCCGTGACCAGGTAGCTGTCCGTCGATAACTCTCCTTTATCCATCATGTATTGGTGGAAATTAAGGGCAAGTGGGAGAACTGCTTCTGACCACTGATAAGTCTAAGCGAAGTCCAGGATCTGCCTCATAAACATGAGTAGATTAGGAACTGCTTTAGGATGTTTTTCGCCGAAGAGATATCCTACAACAGCCAGATAGGCAAGAAAGCAGGTTGTCTATATTTGAGGGTTGGGGCCCCAGTCCTTAAGCGACGCTGCTGCCTTTTTGAAGCCTACTGTGCCTCCCAACTCGGTCATCTTGAAGACTCTGTCCTCCTGATCTAGCTCGGTGACTAACTTCTCTTTAAAGCGTATGAGTTCAGTCGCCTTCAACTTCCTCTCAAAGACGCGAGTAAGAAGGGCGGCGGAGACACCAGGAAATATGTCGATGAGTGGTTTAACTTCGGGGAGTGGCTCACGGTTTTCTTCGAGAGTATCATCATCTTGAAGGTCCACACGAGGCCTTCTGCGGCGGAGGTCGGTCTCCGCTACATCCAATTCAAGGCGCCTAGCCCGGTCTCTCTGTATCTGTCCTAGCCAGCTGGCACGGTCTGCCGTACCCATGGTTTCCCAAATGTGGGCCGGCGGCCAAGCGGAGTCGAGCGGGGCAGGAGTGGCACTGCTAGACTGGCTGAACGTTATGGTGGAGAGCGATATAGTCAAAGCCTATCGGTGCTGTTGTCCTGGAGAAGGACGTGAAACAAAATCAAGACTTGACTGCGTGAGAGATGACGAGCTACCCGCAGAGGCAAGCAACTGAACTCGTGAGGCAGTTGTAGGAGGAAGAGGCCCTCAGTAATGTCGGTGTAGATATCACGTGAGGCTATGGGCATTGTGAGGCAACCCCAATAAAACTACTCCCTTTTATCGATGACCTCTATTGACAACCCACCACGTCGATATCATCGAATATTACCTATAATTTGTAGGTGACCACGCCTCCTATTTACTTTTCAATGAATATATCTTTATAATTCATTATGTTGATAAAGTATTCAGTGGAAAGTCTATTGGTTAACGAAACAGCTGTAAAAAACAGAGATGAATCATCAATTTTATCCAGCCAAAAGAGGAAAGGCGTCAAGAAATTATGTATATGCAGGTTCATGCGGGTCGATGGAGGTTGAACCTCAAAGAACCTCTGGAGGTTAATGGGCGGTTGGAGGTTAGTAAGGTTGGAACCTCACCTCAAGAGGTGAGGTTCGAGGTTCCGGGCTAGGGACCCATGCGGAGGTTCAAAGCCAGGTCTACTCGTAGCTGCGTACTATTATCTGGCAGTTGAGGGTCTAAGGCTTTATCCTCAACTTCACCTATCACCACATCCTTCTCTAACTCATCAGGCTCTTCAGTATCACTAATTGGCTCTATCATAATCTCATTATATTTCTCATCTTTCTCCTCTCTTACTGCTTCAATCTCATCTCGAGTGAAGAACTCTTCGAGGCGCTTTACATCCTGCTCTTCAAGGTCGAATCTTGAAGTGTAGAGAAACATTATAAGCTCTTGAATTGTCTCAGACTTCATTCTTCCTCTACGGTAGTGGCAGACATCTCGGGCCGTATTAAAGAGTCTCTCTACACCAGCACCTGTTGCTGGCACTGAGAGGACGTCTCTTGCAAGGGCAGTAATTGCTAGGAAGCGATGTTCATTATCTCTCTAAAAGCTGAGCGGGCGGATATCAACAACGTCTATTAAATAGTTAGTAAAGAACAAAGGTAATATATCAAGCTTCACTAACCACTATCAAGATATTGTGTTAACTTATCTATGACTCCCGTTGGCTGTTGTTTACTACCATTTAACATTTTATCAAGCTTCGAGCTTGATCTAGGTAGATCCTTCGAGGGCACTAACTCTAGACTATCGGAAAGTTGAGCTTGGTATGGTGTAAGAGCCTTTTGGAATGATTTTCGATACTGGTCACGCCACTCTTGGTCCTAATCATCGGTAAGGAAGAATTAAAACTTGTTGATAGGTGCAAGCATTGTGCAGATCGCAAAGATATGCCCTCTAACATGATCAGTCTGTGCGTAATACTCATCGAGTTTTAATCGACTTACTGTAAGCGTATCAAGCATTTCAGTCTTCCATAGAACACGCTTTCGCCTTAGCTGCTTTGTGGATTTCTCAAGATGCTCAAAGAGCTTATTATAGATCTTAAAAGTATAATATGCAGTGATATCCCGGGTCTTTGAAAGTTGTAAAGTAAAATCAAAGAATGGCTCTGTGATATAAAGAAGATAGTCGATTTGGCGCCACTCTTCAGCGTCTGGTAGTAGATCAAGACGAGCGTACTCTTCACAGAAAGGGTTAAAGAAAGACTGTAGTCTCTTTGCGCGACGGAGTATAAGGAATGTGGAATTCCATCGGGTCTTTACATCTTGGATCGGGACAAGCTTCACTTTTTGGGTCTGGAAGCCGTAGAATGTCTCTCGGCGCTGAGGACTAGCGTTGATGTAAATTGCGAGGTAGCGAATCTTGTTAAGTGTAGAACAGATTCCTCGTTGGTGTTGTTGTGCGTTCTCTTGCGCCATTCTAGATTGCTGGTCAGTCCACTTTGTTTCCGTAGCATCATTTTTGGGAACTGCCTTAATATGCCTAAGAAGCTGGTTAAGACTGAGCTGAATAATATGGGCTAGGCAAGGGATTCGAATGATGATAACACCCTCCGCTAGAACTTGCTGGAGGTTCTCGACGAGGGTCTTATTATTTGATGCATTATCTATTATCAAGCCAAATACCCGGTCTTCAATTCCATGCATAAGAAGGGTTTCTATTAGGGCATTACTTAGGTTTGCACTAGAATGTGTCCTATGAATAGGTTTGAAATCCAAAAGTACTTCCCGATACACCTAATCACGATCAATGAAGTAGCTAGTAATAGCTATAAATGCCTATGAAAATGGAGACGTCTAGTAATCAAGGGCGATAGAAATCTTTGAGCTAGCTGGAAGTAGCTTAAGCACACGCTTTTGCCGACTACTAACTAAAGTTTGTAGCCGGCGACGAATCGTATCCGCAGAGGGAATAAGTGGAGTAGATTGGGAATTACGAGCCATCTGAATTAGACTCTGAAATTTAGGGTGCTTAACAAGGTGAAATGGGAGTCGATTTAGAGATAAGAATGATAAAATCTCCTCTTCCCACACTTCTTGTGAGAAAGGAGCTATGGTCGTATTGTAATCCTAGAAAATTCAGGAATTGCAAGTCTTAAAAATTCTAGAGAACGTACCACTTTTTTGAGAAACTTTGTTATCTCTGCTGTAGGTCCACGCTTGGCCTTTTGATATGTAGCACTCTTAATATGCTTTGACATAGAGGATGTGCCATGATACTGTGCTTTCTGATCGGCTGCACGAGTATGGAGAATATAAGGGTGCTCAAGAATTTGGCCACAATTCTTACACATAACCTTTGGCGCTCCGTCTATAGCATGTGTAACCTGGTCGAATTTGCTCTATATTTCAGCCTGGTGGCTCGAATCCCAGTGTATCTTCTTCTTTATTCCAAAATCGGTCTGTAGCCACTAATCTACCCATTCAGTATGAGTCATGTCGTCGTAAAGAACGTACACCTTTCGCCGATCAGGTCTAACGCGTATTAGGGAGGTTGGGGGTGCTAAAGGAATAACTGGACGAAGAAATTCAGGATCGATGGACTCGAGGTCGAATGTTTGCTGGTTGATAGATGGATCAGGGGTGCCTAGGTGGTTCGAAGAGGTAAGGTAACTAAGATTGCCTAAATCTCTATCATCATAGATAGATGATGTAAAGTTGGATCGCTGACTCTGGGACATAGTAAGGACATGAATGAATAATAAATGTTAGAGAAGGTAAGGGGCAGGAAAGGAAGGTAATACCTACAAGATTTAGAAGATATAGCAGTTTCGTAGCTAGTAGAGAGCTGGTAGCACAAGTTTACTCGTCAAAAGTAAATATATAACTTTTATCTAATTGGTAGGCATAGCGGGTAGAAGTAGGTATAACCCAACGGGACCCAACAAGACCCAGCCGGACCCAGCAAAACCCAGCAAAACCCAGCAAAACCCAGCAAAACCCAGCAATAACCCAGTAATAACCTAGCAATAACCCAGTAATAACCTAGCAATAACCCAGCAATAACCCAGCAAAACCCAGCAAAACCCAGCAAGACCCAGTAAGACCTAGAAATGACCCAGTTCCCACCCCAATTCCGCAAAATGATCTCAAAAAATTTCAACCTAGCACAGAGCTTTTATCATGGGGCCCACCCCCGATTAAACTGGCATATAGAGTGATATTGAATACTTTTCCTAGATTGGAATGTGAGGTAAATCATGAAATGATGTGTTCTATATTTTTTTTACACTCTATATTCTCTATTAGATGATTAAAGGTTAGTTAATTAGAAAATTCAAGGTAGTTAAGAGAGACACGTATTAGATGCTAGATTCAAAATATATTTCTGATAACTTTGAAGGTATAACACCACCCAATTACTATAGCATCACCATAGATAGAAGATTCATATATTCTAACTCATTATTAACTTAAAAGAATATATCAATAATCTATATAAGCTATTATTTTGTTTAAAATAAGTAATATTACGATCTTATAAGTCCATTCATGATGGTTTTCAACAAACAGCAAAAGATACCAAGATTACATATTGATTAGTTAGCAGGATTATGAACGCCAAGAACTTGAATTTATGCAAAGTTGGGTTTTCCTGGGGCCCCAATGGGTACCCAGCCTGGGTCCTGGGTCGGGTCCGGGTTACCTTGCCTCGACCCAGACCCGGCCTGGGTCTGGGGCTGGGTCCAATACTTGGACCCAGACCTGGGTCCTGCGGAAGCCTAGTAGGGGGCCGGATTCAGTGTAACCCTTGCCACGACGATTCAGCTAGTTGACTATGCAGCTACCATGCACCTCGGGGATTTGCCATGCCTATCTACAAGGTGCGATTCATTTCGATATATCGCGGCATAAGCGGGGTTGTTTTGAGATGAGGGGAAAGAAATCTCACGTCCCGCCTCGCGCCCCTTCACTTTCCCAGAAGTCAGCCCTTTCAAAATTCCTATCTTTATTCGCATTCTTACCAATGTATGGTTCATTTTCACACCATGACACATTTACAAAGTGAATTGATAGAAGAAAGTCCTTTCCTCCTAACGAGATCAAATTCGCTATTCGTAGATGAAGAAAGCGAATATGCTGAAAAGCATATTCGTTCACCAAAAAGAAGCCCCTACGAGCAATGTTTGCCATGGCTCATCCAACTTTTTGTTTTTACCATTTACACCACCATTTTCTTTCTTTTCTGGGACCGTTCACAATCTCGTTGTCCAAAGGCAGATGACCCCGAATTTTCCCGTGCTTACAGTGAGTTTGATATTGTTTGTTCACCTGATTGTTGCTAACATCGGACCTTAGGCCCAGCATCGAAGGCGCTCAAGTGGGAATTGAGAACCTTCCAAAATCAGCTTGAGATAACAAATCCGTTCAAAGGACCACCCAGACCGGGATTAGAGGAGGCATGGAATAAGCTTCTTCATCCGTCTGCTGCTATTCTAGTGGATAAGGAATCACTTGACAGAATCAATCGGACGTCTGTTGAGCTTCAAGATGGATCGGGGTATATGGCTGCTTTGGACGTGTATCATCAGCTACATTGCTTGGTATGTATTCAATATAGTACTCATGATTTAAAATGGCTTTCGCTGATAAAGATATCCCACAGAGATGGGTGCGCAGATACATTCACCAAGACCACTACAATTCCACGGAGGAAAATCTGGGCCAGCACATTGGTAAGTCCTGTCACTATCATTGATTTTATGCAAGCTGATTTCTTCAAAGACCACTGCTTGGATGGATTACGGCAGTATGTGATGTGCAACGCGGATTTGTCTATCAACACCTTTGACTGGATCCCAAATTATCCCAAGCCATGGCCAAATTTTGAGGTCGTGCATAAATGTGCGAATTGGGAGTCTATCGAGGAATGGGTTTTGGCGAACAGTTTTAATGGATTTGATCCTGATTTGATCCGTCATCCAGATTATCACCCCGAACTACGTAAGAAATATATACTATACCTTGAAACGAGAAGACCGAAGTGATGCTAAATGATCTTTTCAACCCCAGCAAGCCCATTCAATTACACCGTCAGTGGAAATTCACCCTGATAGCATACATTTTATGGTGAGCATTTGAGCCTAATATTCTTTTTTTTGAGATATGGCAAGTTGATTTTCTCTTGCAAAATAAAGAATTATATCACAATAGCTACGGCAATTTTGAATTCAATAAAATCTTCCAGAAGCGTAGCCTTTTTTCCGTTTTCTTTTTCTTTCTTATGGGCATTAGCAACCCACCTCTACTCCCCAGGCTCTCTTGTGGAATGAACTTGCCGTGAGGGAACACGTTTCCAATTTCAAACTTTAGGAGCTTTTAATTAAGATAATACGAGATTTTACCAGGCCACTCACATGGCTCTCTCCGTTCTCTTTATTGGTAGCAAACAGACGCCATCTCAAGCCTCTAGTATAGAGTATACTTCAAAAAAGTAGTTATCTATCATAGGTGTTTCAAAGAGACGTTTGACACTATAAGACAGGGGTAGAATCACTCTAATATTCCACAATCATCTGACACGTTGCAAGCGGCACGTCCATTTCCGGCACCTGCAATGCTAGTAAGCAAAAATCAATGATTGAATTGAAATCAAGAGAGAGATTTGAAATCAAGAGAGATGAAAAGATATTCGCCGGAGCCCGACGGTCATTGAGCTTTTCCTGGCCCCAGGTAGTACTCACACTGCATTAGACACTGCATTAGGCACTGCACTAGATTGTGCATTAGTAGATTCCGTATGCCTCCCGGTCTTTGATAACAATTTTTAACTCAGCAGAGCATCTCCAAGAGGCATAGGGAGAAACATGTGTGGATAGAAAACGTATGGTCTACCTAGCCTACATATTCAAAGACGAAATTAATCAAATACGACAGTATGCGGCACAAATCATCAAAAGTGGCGTAGAGAGAGTGGGATGGAAGCGGGGTGAGTGAGTCTAGATAGAGATGCTGAACGGTGAGTTCAACAATACAGCATATTCACTAAGGATCAGTCGGCTGTATACAACCTTGTTATCTATAAAAGCCAATTCAATGTCCATTCCAAGTCCAATGCCAACCTTTCACGACTCTTTCAACCCCTCCCTAATTGACCTACGCACTCGAATCTGAATTTCCTTAACAACATCTGACAAGATGCACTTTGCCCACCTTCTGTTGGCTTTGCCATACTTGTGCCTTGCCGCACCAATTAGCGGTACTGTCCTCTACATCATGAGCTGTAGATTCAGACGCTAAATTTATCCTAGATCATGCTTCCATTAATGCCCGCGCTGTTGCATGCGCCCGGGATGTCGATAGCCCTGAGTGTGGAGGACACCAAGCTTACAAGCGAGAGGAGCTTGATGCCCGCGCCGTTGCATGCGCCCTGGATGTCGATAGCCCTGAGTGTGGAGGACACCAAGCTTATTAACTGGAAAAGCACTTGAGATGCTAATCGTGCATATTTGCAATGATATCAAGCATTAGCTTTCCTTAGATCATAATGATTGTGATAGCCCCAGAGAGCTGATGATTTGGATCTTCACTTTTGATGTCATGAATTTATATTTTTTGCTATTCTATCACCTCGACTGCGCTTGCAATCTAGAAACCAGTACGGAGCACTCGAACTCGACTTACAACAACCACAACCATATAGACCTAAAATCTGTCCTGCACCCACGCTTTGATACCCTGGCACTCAGAAACTTCAATCTATACCCGGTCCGTGCTGCGACCCAATGCCCTATCCCACGGGGGTACCTGGAGTCTTAAAGACTCCAGGTTAGGGTTTTCCCTTTACTATGGGAGGAAAAGTGGGTCCGTCGTTAGACTCCTTTGGTCTAGAGGGCTCAGATCGCTCTGAAAATTTAGGAATTTAAAATGACATATATGAATTTGCCCCTATTCGCATCGGAGCTTACACAGCCGTCCGATTGTCGAGAAAATGGTGATTGAAAATGCCGGGTTTTTCGAGATGTTTTGATGGGGTGCGGGAATCTGGAAGTGCGACCGGGGCCTGAGGCTGCCACTTGGTCACTGCGATAAGATAAGCGGGTCGCATCCTGACTTCAGGTAAACTGCGCACCCCCACTGCCGAGGGCTATAGGCCTCTGATAGATCTGAAATTTGTAGAGGTTATAATATAGAGTGTTAAATATATCTGAGCTACTTTCTAGACTATATGAGCATATATATGCGGGGTGGAGGGTGATCAAAAATGGGAGATGTTTTGATGGGGGGCAGGAAAGACTTGGCACTACAGCCAACACCACACTACAGCTAACACCACACTACAGCTAACACCACACTACAGCTAACACCACACTACAGCTAACACCACACTACAGCTAACACCACACTACAGCTAACACCACACTACAGCTAACACCACACTACAGCTAACACCACACTACAGCTAACACCACACTACAGCTAACACCACACTACAGCTAACACCACACTACAGCTAACACCACACTACAGCTAACACCACACTACAGCTAACACCACACTACAGCTAACACCACACTACAGCTAACACCACACTACAGCTAACACCACACTACAGCTAACACCACACTACAGCTAACACCACACTACAGCTAACACCACACTACAGCTAACACCACACTACAGCCAACACCACTCTCCATACTTATCGTATATCTTTCAAACCATCTATGTTATTCACACTATATATGCCATTCATGGGATTCAGCCATTAGTCTTTTTCACCACCTTCATATTACTCACACTATATATGCCATTTATGCGGCTCACCATATTTATATTATTCACCTATTCATATTGCTTACCACATTCATGTTGCTCACCACGTTCATGTTATTCACCCATTCATGTTATTCACCCATTCATGTTATTCACCCATTCATGTTATTCACCCATTCATGTTGCTCACCCATTCATGTTATTCAGGCATTCCCACCATATATGCCATTCAAACCATATTAGACTAACTGTTATATATACATATAATGAATGCCGTGCTATATGAGCAATTAATGCCCTGGGAAAGGCTCAATGCCCTGCCTCGCTGGCCAATGGCGTGTTGAGCCCGTGTGGGCAACGAATGCCTTGAGATGGGATGACTGGGCGACCTAGATGGCCAATGAATGCCCTGGGCTGAGCTGAGTGCCCTTCCTGTGTGGCTAATAGCGTGTTGAGCCTATGTGGGCAATGAATGGCCTGAGATGGGATGACTGTCCGTCCTGGCTGGCCAATGAATGCCCTGGGCTGAGCTGAGTGCCCTGCCTAGGTGAGCTAAGGGCCCTGCCTATATGGCTAGTAGCAGCCCTGCATATGTGGGGAATCAGTGGTTGACCTGTCAATCTTAAGCCCGGGCCGAAATGCACTATGTCGATCATCGTATTCTATATATAGTGTGTGCAGGCGGGGTAACGGGGGCTGAAACGATGCCCGGCCTATATTAAAATTCTTCTCACACTAAACTGCCTGCCCTTTCCACTCTGCTTTTCCTCTCACTTTCATCTTACTTATCCTTCACTGTTTTCTTTCATTACTTACCCCTACTACCATAATGGAACATCAGCTTTTTCACCAGCCATTAACCACGCCCGTGATTATATGCAAGCTATGTGAATATGGTATTCGACCAAAAGAGGTTTCTCGCCACCTCCAATCCGGGAATCATCGGATGCCGAAGCCGAAAGCGCGCCAAATTGCCGAGGCAGTTCAACAGTGGGAGCGTGCGGCGGAATTGTAAGAAGATTACCAGGTCAGGGGTGATCAGCCTGTCAATCCGGTAAGATACGATGATGGATCGGTAATGAATAAGTGGAGGAGCGTCAACGATATAGTATTCTTGTACAGAGACTAATTCTTGTCCCCCAGATAGGGGCCAGGGAGTTATCCCCTTTTTATGCCCTATTTGGACGAAGCTCCCAGGGACACATTATCTCTGTCGGTATCACTTATTGCGATTCCATCTTCGTTGGTGACACTACGTCCGAATCCTTTTCGTAGACGGAACATTCCCGTTACATGATCGGATCCATTACTCCTCGTCCTGCATAGCCTCGTTAAAACCAACCAGGCAAAACCCTGATGGGAAAAGGCCAAAGGTTGGAAAGAGTGCTTGGCAGTCTTAGTGATCTGTCTCCCATTGTATGGTCCCAAAGACCATTACAATATAACAGCTGGTCTTGGTTCATCTAGCCAACATGGCCTGTGGTGGTGCTGTTATAATGGATCTTTAAGCCGTAGGTGCGTAGATCTAACAGCCACTGCATTGGACTGTTAGTGCCGCGGACCATAAACTGGCTGACCATCTCGGTCACCCACTCCCGGAATGATCGTTGGCGGTGGCCCTGTGTGTGGCCCTGGCTAAACTGAATAAAGTGCGATGACTGTGCTGCCCCCTGATCTAGGCTATCGTTATCGTTGTAAAACGAATCGTCCGTTGTTTGCGTTAAAAACGTGAAATCAGGTGAATCTAACGGACTCTCTGTATCCCATTCGCCAGCCATCTGATGCATAGCTAGTTGATGGATCATCTTCTTGGCCGTTGGGTCTAGCTTTAATGCTTTGTGGACCACTATAAACCGAGCAATCTTGATCACTTTAGACAATATTGGAGGATAGCTCTGGGCAGTGCCCCAGCCTGCCTCTCCACGTCCAAGCACCGCGCTAGCGCAGATGAGCGCGCTCTTATAGTCCTCGACCTTAGTTCGGTGGTTTAACAGCTCAATGCAAAAGTCGAGACAGGCGGAGTCAAGGGGAGTGAGCTGAAAGGGAGATTCACTAGTGATTTGGTCCTGTTGGTCCTCGGAATCACTTCCTGAATGCATACTGCTTTGGTCCGAACTGCTCAGGTCTTCACTGCCCTGGCCGGCGTTGGAATGGCCTGTGTTAGCCTGCCTTGTGTTGGAATGGCCTGTGTTGGCCTGCCCTGTGTTGGCCTGCCCTGTGTTGGAATGCCCTGTGTTGGCCTGGCCGGCGTTGGAATGGCCTGCCCTGCCCTGGCCTGTGTTGGAATGGCCTGCCCTGCCCTGGCCTGTGTTGGAATGGCCTGCCCTGCCCTGGCCTGTGTTGGAATGGCCTGCCCTGCCCTGGCCTGTGTTGGAATGGCCTGCCCTGCCCTGGCCTGTGTTGGAATGGCCTGTCCTGCCCTGGCCTGTGTTGGAAAGGCCTGTGTTGGAAAGGCCTGTGTTGGAAAGGCCTGTGTTGGAAAGGCCTGTGTTGGAAAGGCCTGTGTTGGAAAGGCCTGTGTTGGAAAGGCCTGTGTTGGAAAGGCCTGTGTTGGAATGGCCTGCTCTGCCCTGGCCTACGATGGGTGAGGCACCAAGCTCTGCCTGGGCTAGTCTCTATAATGTGGCCCATGCCGCTCGCTGGCGTTTGGAAAACCTGTAGTGGAGGCTAGCCCAATCATGTGGGGCCTGCGTGCGCGTGAAAAACATGAGAATCTGCTGCCATGGGACCGTGTGTCGCTTAACATTATCACCATCTATATATGCTTGTAGTGGTTGATGTGGCAGGCGATCCCGCTCAGTCCGAACAGCCTCGCACCGAATCGTGTTGCTCGTTTTGGTGCAGATCAACTGGCTGATGCGAGCTACAGTGGCTATTGAATTCCAAATTGCATATGCAGCTTGCTCGGTCTGATCAACAGACTCGGGATCGGGGGCTCGGACACAGTCCACTAGGTCGTGCGGGTTGATCCCCTGGAGATAGACGGCCCACTGGGTCCTCCGAAGCCATGGATTCGTCTCGTCTCGCTGGCTAGCCACGATCACCTGGGGGAGCTCTTCTCTTTCGGTATATGCTCTTTCTATCTGATCAATCACCTGACTATTATGATCAGATATTGCTAGCGAATCGGCCTCGGGAATAGCCTCGGCTCCGAGGGTTTGCACGCGGATATAATGGGACCCTAGCCCGTGATTAAACGCACGTTGGCATCGGACGATACGAGTAAATTGCTGGATTTGTTGCTCCGCAGCTGATGAAGTATGCTGCCGCCGACGTCCGCCCCGGTTTATAGGAGCTACCCAGCTATGATGATCACGCCAGTGAACACGCATAGTGCCAATTGACCGGGCAACAAACTGGCACATCGGGCCTTGCTCACATAAAATACCATCTGAGTAAACAGGTAGGTTTGGAACTGGTTCGTTAACCACTAATAGTGGCTGCCATTCATCATATTCCTGTAATGGTCTTTGGGACCATACAATGGGAGACAGATCACTAAGACTGCCAAGCACTCTTTCCAACCTTTGGCCTTTTCCCATCAGGGTTTTGCCTGGTTGGTTTTAACGAGGCTATGCAGGACGAGGAGTAATGGATCCGATCATGTAACGGGAATGTTCCGTCTACGAAAAGGATTCGGACGTAGTGTCACCAACGAAGATGGAATCGCAATAAGTGATACCGACAGAGATAATGTGTCCCTGGGAGCTTCGTCCAAATAGGGCATAAAAAGGGGATAACTCCCTGTCCCATATCTGGGGGACAAGAATTAGTCTCTGTACAAGAATACTATATCGTTGACGCTCCTCCACTTATTCATTACCGATCCATCATCGTATCTTACCGGATTGACAGGCTGATCACCCCTGACCTGGTAATCTTCTTACAAGAAACCACTATTGGTTTGAACGGGCACGCCATCAATCTCCATGCATACCGAGACATCGCTATTGGGATCAGCCGACGATTCATGCGGCCATCGAGCATATTCCCCAATAATACCCAACAGGACAGCCGGGCCGAGGCATCCCAAGAAGATGACGAAGATGGGATCAATGCCGAGCAATGGATGGGCCATATTGCAGATCTCCAAGCAGCCCATTCATCCCATGTGGCCGGGATGATCTATGGCCGCGGGATCACCGAGCAGCCCGGTACAACGGCCCACCGGCGAGAGATGTTTCGGCTCAGCAGCACCGATTGGCACCGCTTTCTAGGCTTTGTGTCCGCTGATGACGGAGGGGCCGAGAGCGCATTAGGGTGTTACGGACATGCTAGTCACCAATTACATGCGGGGCAGCAGCTTGCTGATGGGCCACCGAGAGCCAACCGATCTATCTGTCATCCAGATCACGTGCAATATCCAATACTGGGGTGTGATACTTTAAGGATCAGATGGTTTTCATTGGATGCCCGAGGCACCGAGTATATAATAGTAAATTACATAATAATGCCAAGGTATCGCTTAGTGAGAAACCCAGTTTTACATGTAGCAATATGAAATACAACTTGGTGCTGGCCAATCAGGTGATGTCAATAACTCTGGTTTCCATTACCCCTAATTCTGGCAATTTATATATAGGTGTAATTTACTTGCTGAATAATGAACAAACACGACAAACAAGTGGGCCTGCTTTCTCAGGCTTCCGACACACCCCCTCATCTTGCGCAGATTGGGCAAGATGACCCTTGAAACGCCCATTTCTGTAATAGACACAGAAACAGCCTCTGTTTCCCTTCTGGGCCTAGGTGATCAGGTGACCTACATCAGCCATTCTAAGCAAGCGAATGAAATTTTCATGCTTCTGGCGAGTCAGGCACTTGGTGAGCCCGTCAGCGACCATCTGTGCCGTTGGCACCCATCTGACGGTGATCCTTCCTGCTTGCGCTTCCTGCCTAACCCAGTGATAGTGAATATCGACATGTCGAAGCTTCGTATCGAACGCCGCATCCTCCTTGTTAATGAGTGCAACCGTGCGCTCATTGTCGCAGTCGATGGTGATGGGGTGGGATAACTTAAGGCCAACATTCTGCAGCAGTCTTCTCCACCATTGGAGATGCTTGCCAGCCTCAGAAAGTCCCAGCAGCTCGGCCTCGGTAGTAGATGTCGTTACCGTTAGCTGCTTGCTGGCTTTCCAGTCTACTGGCCCGCCGAACACTTGGCAGATATATCCAGCAGAACTCTTCCGATCCTCATGATCCCTATACGACGCGTCACTTGCTATCTGGATCGACTCCATATCTTCGATTCCTGCGGCATATTCAATGGCAAGAAACCGGGTGGAGTAAAGGTAGCAGATCACCCTGTCGACAGCTTGCTGGTGCTGTGGTCCTGGGTTCATTAGGAATTGCGCGAGCTTAGCAGTAGCCTTTGCTGCGTCAACCCTAGTAATGGTCGTTGCATAACCTGCTGAGCCCACTTTCTGCTGATACAGATGTGTTTCTCTTGGTGTAGCAACGCCCTCGTACTTGCGTAGTTCTTCCACCGGTAAGGGTGTAAGAACAGGCGCTCGCTCTGTCAAGTTATATCTCGCTGCAATGCTTGCGATGTAACTATCTTGACAAAGCCACAACTTCTTCTGTGCACGGTCCCTGATGATCCGGATATTAAGAAACCACTCTGCTTCTCCGTGATCAGTCAGTTCCCAGTGCTCTTCAAGTGATTTTTCTAATTGTTTTGCTCTTGCTCTCGCTATGCGATAGCAAGCAATAAGTATGTCGTCGACATAGAAGAATATAATGATTCCGGTGCCAACGAACACACATGGGTCCTCCGGCACTTGCTGGAGACCTAACTTTCGCAGTACACTTGCTGCTTCTTGTTGCCATAAGCGTGGCGAAATTCGTAGACCGTATAGAGCTCGCTGTAGTTTCCATGACTTGCCCGGTATCCCAAAACCTTCTAGCATCTATGTGTATGTCTCCTTATCCAAACGCGAGTTCAGGAATGCGGTAACAGCGTCGCGCTGCCTAACGTCGAGATCGTATGCGGCGATGAGGGAGAAGATCATGCGTGCTGTCCTTGCAGCAAGTGTCGCTGCTCGCTTCTCTTCTTAGGTGATGGTTTCTAAGTCGCCGCGGACGCAGATGCGTGCTTTTAACTTGATTAAGTGGCCATCCTGGTCAAATTTGTATGCATAAGTCCATAAGAGAGGAAGCACTTGCTTGCTGATGTCTTTTGGCCGGTCTATCACCTCATACGTTGCCTTTGAGCGCAAGTTGTCTAGCTCTCGTTTTATCGCTGCGATAAAACCTTCAGAGAACTGGTGGTTTATGGCCTCTTTGTAGTTTCTTGGTATAGGAGGGAGGTCATCGCGGTGTCGTCGATGTTCTGGCTTCTCGGCATATAGCCCTGCTGCGAAGGCATGTAGCATTGCTGGTGGCTCTTGCTGTATCGTAGAGTAAGCAGCATAGTCATTGTCTTGCCTTGCTCGCCTGGTTCTTTTGCCGCTTATGATATTAGTAGTATCAACGTCACCAAAGATCTCTTGTGTGGGCTGTAGTAGCTCGCTTTGCAGCTGTTGTGCGACTTCATCGTCACTTGCTCTATTATCCTGCGACGTTTCCACGGTTTCAGGGGTCTGATCCCCTACTTGCTGCGTTTCCTGCTGCGTCTCCACCCCCTGATCTGACCCAAAAACCTCGTTTGGTGGTGTTGGTGGGAGTGGCACATCTTCTGGGAAAGCACCTAGGATTTCTGTAGGACTTGCTGATGCAATCCGCCTTTCTAGCGTCGGCGATGGGGTTCTTGCCATATCTTTATGGCGTTCCATTTGTTGTGGTGGGGTTTCTACCTGCTGAGGAGTATTGGTTTCATCCTCCTACGGTTTGCTACGTGGTAGCTCGACTTGCTGGTGTTGGTCTTGGTAAGAATCTGCGGTTTGAGCAGCTTGCTGATGGTTTTCAGTTGTTGTATGCTGCTCCCGATGCGTTTCCTCTGGCTCCTGATGCTCCTCCTGACTTCTTGCTGTCGATATCCGCTGGTAAAGCTTGAGGGTTTCATCTGTATCAAGCACATATGGTTCCTGGATAATTGGCATTGGCAATTGTTGATATCGCTCGAACCTAGGTGTGTACTTGCGGCTCTCGTCAAACACCGTATCTCTAACAACCTGCACTCTTCTAGTATGTGGGAACCAGATTTTCCAGATATTTGATGCCACGAAGCCTACTAGAAAGCCAATCTCGGCTCTCGGTGCCATCTTATTAGATTGCACTTGCTTCTGTATCCGATAGTAAGTCAAACTGCCATACAATTTAACGTTTGCTAGGTTGATTCTCGGCATCTCGTTACCCGCGAATTCGCGTCGAACCTCTTCCCACGGCACAATCTAGCGTTTCTCATCGTTCACGAAGGTGGGTGTACGGTTCAGCAACCATACTGCAGCACTTGCTGCCTCTGGCCAGAGACCTTTAGGCAACTGGCCCTCGACGATGAGCATACGCATACGTGTGATGATTGTTCCACCTGCACGCTCGCTGTATCCATTCATCTCTAGATGTCCCGGGGGAGAGTGATAGATAATGATGCCCTCTTTGGAGATGGATCGTTCGGCGGTGCTTCCTGCCGAAGTCTCGTTATCATACATGAACACCTTAATTAGCAAGTTCCACCAATTCTTAGCAAGTGCTATAAACTTGTCGATAGCAAGCTGACACTCTGGCTTTAGTTCATGTGTCATGATCCAGTGAAATCGCACTCCCTCGATATAGAAGTGTGACATCCATCTATGTCTGTTTTCTGCTGGCTGGATCTGTATTAGGTCGAAATGAATTCTTCCAAATCTTCCAAACGTGCGTCTAATTGGTCGGCGAGAGATTTGTCGAGGTGCTCTTGCTAGGTTGCAGACTCGGTAAGGTGAGTTGACTTCTTTATCCTTGCTATCCTCTGTGATCTCGATGCCATCTACTATTTGCTTAGCTTGCTTAATCGTATCTGTGCTGATGTGCGCTAGACGGCGATGCCATAGTTCTATAGATCCTTTCGCTTTCTGTGGTCTCTCTGACTTTCTGGTTATCGCATTGACACTGTTGTGGCTTGGCAAGTCGAATACCCATAGATCTAGGTCCACTAGCTGCAATTTCGCGATTTGCAGGTTGTTTGGGTCGACGATGGTATCTGTATCTTGACACCATTTCACACCAAGTCGCCTCATTTTTGCATATGAAACTAGGTTGGTATGGCACCCTAGGATATACAAGGCGTTGGTAAGACGTATGATTCGTTGCTTGCCGGTTTGTGGATCTCTTATAGCAAGTCTTGCTGTTCTAATCCCCTCACCCTTGGTGATTGAGTTGCCAGTTGCTAACTCTGTTTGGTATAGGGTTATAG